ATGGCACCTTCACGCATATATAAGCCACCCATGCTGTGGGCACTGATTTATCCCAATACCATGACAGATGTTGGCTTTTGCACCTTTCACTGATAAAAGTCTGGATGGTCTCTTTTGCTTTGGCACAGAGAACTCGGCATTCGATTTTCCCAAAAACAAGCTGAAACATGGACTCATCTGACCACAGCACACATTTCCACTGTCCTTCAGACCATCTGGAATGAGCTTGGGCCCAGAGAACTCGGTAGCGTTTCTGCACAGAATTGATGTATGGCTCTCCTTGCATAATAGAGGTTCATCATTTCTTGACTGTGTTAAGTGACAGCGGTTTTCCGAAGGACTCCACCGATCAGGCATAACATTATGACATTATGAAGATTAGTTTTTAAACACCTCAGTGTCACTGCTGGACTAAGAATAGTCCAGCAACCAAAAATATCCAGCCAACAGCGTCCTGTGGGCAGTGTCCTGTGACCACTGATGAAGGACTAGAGGATGACCAACACGAACTGTGCAGCAGCAGATGAGCTATCATCTCTGACTTTACATCTACAAGGAGGACTGACAAGGTAGGAGTGTCTAATAGAGTGGACAGTGAGTGGACACAGTGTTTAAAAACTCCAGCAGCACTGCTGTGTCTGATCCACTTAGACCAGCACAACACACAGTAACACACCACCACCACGTCAGTGTTACTGCAGTGCTGAGAATGATCCACCACCCAAATAGCACCTGCTCTGTGAGGGTCCATAGGGGTCCTGACCACTGAAGAACAGGGTAAAAGGGGGCTAACAAAGTATCAGAGAAACAGATGGACTACAGTCTGTAGAACTACAAAGTGCACCTATATAGTAAGTGGAGCTGATAAAATGGACAATGAGCGTAGAAACAAGGAGGTGGTCATAATGTTATGCCTGATCAGTGTATATCTTGCAACATATATTAAAATTTTAATTACATGGTGATACAAATTTTTGGCCATACTTATCACAAATATGTGAAAACAATAACAGGCAGCTGTCACTGGTACTCATCAGTATCATGAGGATGCTTTGTATTGCACTATTGTGCCTTATAATCCATGCCTAAGTCTGAGCTCCCACGAGCCTTTAATTCAGAGTTCAGCTCAGTGGCGGACAGCAGATAGAAAGCCTGGAGTGTGGAGTTACGATTAACGTCAATCACAGAACAAAAGAGACCTGCAGAGAATTACAGTCCAATTAAACCACTCAGTTTTATTTACACATCAGAGACCGGCGTCTGCCCTCAGAGCACTGAGATACTGGCTACTCTCGCTTCTCTCGCTCTCGGAAGGGAATTGGGGATGTGCCAGGTGTTTTCATGCTGAAGGCAGGCTTTTGGAAAAGCGCCTGAGTTGGAGGAGGGCAGCAGCTCCAGTTGGGCGAGAGAAAGTGCATTTGAAGAGGGAGACACGGTCAGAATACTGGACGCAGACAAAGAGAACAGACCAATTAGCAAGTAAAAGCTACATTATTCAATACCTGACTAGCTCCTTATCCACCATCTCCATCTCAGTGACTCTCTCGCTCATTCTCTTTTATCCCGTCACTGTCTGCGGACGTCAGTTCGTTAGACGAGCTCCATCAGTGCTGCAAAACCAACTGGTAAATTAAGGTCAAGTCTGTTTGGGTAAACACAAAATAACCTACATTTGTAGCATGTTGATGCTTCTAAGCTCTGTAGAGCTTCTGTGCTGGCTTGCTGAGTCCAGGTTGAGCCAATTAAGCTCTGAGCTGCAACTCAGATACGATCCGGAGCGCTAAAACGGCCCTCTCAGGAATTAAGTGGCTGTATCTCAATTATTCAGTATCAATAATTCATCATCTGTCTCTCGCCGCGGCAATACTTCATCCAAGTGTCCCCGCTTATTAAGAGCAGAGAAAGAGAGAGAGAGAGAGAGAGAGAGGGGCAATATGAATGAGTTAGACTCTCATCGAAAGGACTGCAAATTATCCTCACTTCAACCTGTACTAACCCTTAGAAGTCACAGTTACCGCCGGCAATAACAAAAAGCATGTCGTGATTTCATTTTAATTACTTCTCACTCGACGCTAACTGGAACGAGTGGAAACATTGTGTGGAAAGTGCAGATTCTAAACTTGCAGTCTACACCACGCTTGTGTTTTTAAGTAAAAAAAGGAAATATTTTATTGTGATTTTAATGTGATGAAATGTTATTCTTGTATACTTGTCTTTTTTTTGCAGGAAGAAAAAAAGCTTTGTTTCTCAACACTGAAAAAACTGAAAAACTGACTTGAGCCTGTGGATACAGACTGTAAAACAAATGCAAATGCAAATAAATATGTAACTATGTAATAAGCATGTAATTACATCTGAATTGTAGCATCGGGCAGTCATTATTAATCACAATGCAAAACAATAAACAAGCAATGTTGTTTGACTGACATGTCGACATATAAAGAACATAAATAAATGAAATGTGATGTCTTTACATTGAACTATTTGGTGAACTAGTTGGTGTAAAACAGACAAAAATCCCTGAGAATATATTCCAAGGAACAAAATCTACTGATTCTAATACAAAGACAATTTAATTACAAATCATTTTCACTAAAATATTTCAATTTTGTTCCATCAAAAATTGTGATTATGTTGAAGTCACAAAGTCTGCATTTTGCTGCTGTCGGAACAAAACCTCGTATCTCCAAAATGGTAACTTTACAGGAGGAAGAAAAAACATACTCTGCTTTTAATGTAAGTCAATGGAACCATGGAGTTTTTACCAAGTCATTTTGGGCCACTTCTTTTGGTCCATTCATCATGAAACAGGCAGGCATTTTCAAATTTTCAAAGAAAAGGTTTTGTTCCGACAGCAGTGATGTATTTGCGATGGTGGGACTAAACTTTGTATCTCAGTTTTTTTAATAACATAATTTTAAAAGGCAGCTGCCCTTTACATTGTGTGAGCATGATAAATAGGCCAATATAAATGTTTCGCAGTTATTTAGAATAAAATTTTGTTACATTAACTTACATTAAAAGTTATAAACGATTCCTTCTTCCGTAAAGTTTCAGAGAAACAAGGTTTTGATCTGACAGTGATAATATGATGACTTAAATGTAAATGCGAGACATAATCAAATTAAATTCATACTGAACTGATTTTTTGAATGTATATTTATAATCAAGAATTTTAACCAATTAAAAGGCCAAACAATAAAAACAGACTTAGCTGGACAGTAGAAAGTAATGTCTAGATTCTAAAACACTTTAGGGAAAAATGTAATCCCAAATGAAAGATTTTAGGTGACCAAAACATGAATATTAATGGGTCCATAGCTTTGTTTTAGTAAGGAGAATGAGGACCATTTTAATTCAATTTAAATCAATCAGTTTTAGTATTTGAGTAACTGAATTAAAGAAGGTGTCTGTGACACTGTTGTATATCACAATAGTAAACTAGAGACGTCCAAGGAAGCTTCTCAGTATGCGTAGCGCTCTCTCACCTCTCTCACAACAATCAAAAGATGATTTCTGTGATAATTATTGGGCTGTTACTGTGCAGCTGTGTCTCTGCCGTGTTTGGAGTCATGCTGTAGTAAGGCTGGGAGACTGCAGTCTGTTTCAGTGAGGCTATCTGAGCCTGAGGCTGTTTAGACTCGAATTCAAGAAGAGACAGCCACCATACAGCACGAGCAGGAACCCTGCAGCTGGCCAGCTCACAGGCCATCACACACTCTCTGACGATGAGTAATGAGACAAATATAACACGGCTGCTCCTGACATCAGTCGCTGTGAAGATGTAGATCTAGGGTTTCTTGATTTACTTCTCATGTAAAGCACAGTGGCAGGCAAAAGTTTGGACAAACCTAATTGAGTTTGTGTTTTCCAAAATCTTAAAAAGACGTTTTGATCTACAAGATTCAAATTTCTTAATAAAAATTATGAAATAAAAATAATGTTTTACATGGATAGGTGGGGAATGTATTTACTACCTATTTACTCCTGTGCTGTAAAACAAAGCATAGAAATAACCCCTGGTTGTATTAATCCCATGCTATAAAATGAACCAGGCCCACTCATCCCCACACTGGGACCCACCACTGATCCTGCTCCTCGATACCCACTCATCCCCACACTGGGACCCACCACTGATCCTGCTCCTCGAGGCCCACTCATCCCACACTGGGACCCACCACTGATCCTGCTCCTCGAGGCCCACTCATCCCCACACTGGGACCCACCACTGATCCTGCTCCTCGAGGCCCACTCATCCCACACTGGGACCCACCACTGATCCTGCTCCTCGAGGCCCACTCATCCCCACACTGGGACCCACCACTGATCCTGCTCCTCGAGACCTACTTATCCCCACACTGGGACCCACCACTGATACTGCTCCTCGATACCCACTCATCCCCACACTGGGACCCACCACTGATCTTGCTGCTCGAGGCCCACTCATCCCCACACTGATCCTGCTCCTCGATACCCACTCATCCCCACACTGGGACCCACCACTGATCCTGCTCCTCGAGGCCCACTCATCCCACACTGGGACCCACCACTGATCCTGCTCCTCGAGGCCCACTCATCCCACACTGGGACCCACCACTGATCCTGCTCCTCGAGGCCCACTCATCCCCACACTGGGACCCACCACTGATCCTGCTCCTCGAGACCTACTTATCCCCACACTGGTACCCACCACTGATCTTGCTGCTCGAGGCCCACTCATCCCCACACTGATCCTGCTCCTTGAGGCCCACTCATCCCCACACTGGGACCCACCACTGATCTTGCTCCTCGAGGCCCATTCATCTCCAAACAGTGACCCACCACTGATCTGGCTGCTCGAGGCCCACTCATCCCCACACTGATCCTGCTCCTCGAGGCCCACTCATCCCCACACTGGGACCCACCACTGATCCTGCTCCTCGAGACCCATTCATCCCCACACAGTGACCCACCCCACAGTTTGAAAACCACTGAGCTAGTTAATAAAGAGCTCGACTCACCCACAGGGGAAGGCGTTCCTGCACTGCTCGGGGGGTTGAGCCTCTCAGTGGGCGAGGGCAAGGGCAGCGAGCTGATTACGGACGGAAAGAGGAAAGGGTACATCCCCGTCCTGTAGCGCCTCATCTGGACAACCGAGGAACTGCAGCAAGATGCTGAAGCTCTGCTAGCTGTTTTCATTCCACAGAGGGAGGGCACACTGAGGAAGAGGAAGGGGGAGGAACGTGGGGTCGGTTCTCTGCAGGCCAGATGCAGTGAGATCCCTCATTGGGAGGCGGAGACTCCATTGAAGCCCCAAGGCGCACTCAGTGCACCCAGGGGCAGGGCTGGACCTCACTCTGCTGCACCACACGACGCATGACTGGGTCTGATGTCACTCAGTGCAGAGCATCGTTCCAGCGCCGCAATCTGCAAAAGGAGCGCAGAATTCAGTGTTAGTCTTTAAAAAAGTCTCAGTCTTAAAAATGTGCAGGCTTGAGGTGCTTGTTGACTGACTCACACCTCGACCCAGGTCCCATGAAATTTCAGCCTGAGAAAAAACATGGAGCAGAACTCAAAGGGAACTTCCACCAGTTTATCAACACTTATGGATAGTTCAGTGTTTGATATGTAAACAGAGTCATTCAGAGTGGTTTGGTGTGAAATGGTTGATGGTAGAGACTCAGATTTCTTTACAGTGGTGGTGATAGGAACCAGGGGTCGCCATGACTACAACAAATATAGACATTTTATTTACTATCCAAAACCACCAGTGAACCTACACGAGTCTTCTGAGTTTAATATGGAATGATGATGATGGTAAAATAGTGGAAACTCGTAAAACTATGTCTCAGTAATCAGGCAGTGTATTTCGTGTAATATTTTTCTGTGAGGGAGCTTTTAGAGGTGGACGTCTGGTTCCTATCACCACCACTGTGAACAGTTCTGACTCTGTAAGTTTTTAGAACGGAGCATTTCACACCAAACCACTCTGAATGACTCTGTTTACATCTTAACCACTTCATTATACAGAAATTTCATTGGAATTCCCCTTTAACTGAATGACACACCGAACTTTGAATGGGGCGAACTCTTGCACTCCTGTCTTGTTTTGTCTGATACAGAGTGTAGCTTTGTTTCTACCCAGTGTGGACACTGGGCAGCCTGCCTTGCCTCCATGCTTCTCTCTCTTACTCGCTCTCCCTCTGGGGCAGTCGTCTCGACTCCTCTGGCGGGCCGAGGTGAGGTGAGAATAAGATGGGAGGAGCAGGGGAGGGATAAATGTCTCGGCACAGGCGCTAAATCCTGTTTAACAGAGTTATAAACTGCGGCGGGCTAATGGCAGCTATAACGCCCTAATCTGCAGTTAGGGTGCAGTTAAAGTGATGTGTAACCACACTTCATAATTAACGGCCCCGAGATAACGCCGTCGTCCGACTGCGCCGTGACTTCAAACAAAGAGAGAGAGAGAGAGAGAGAGAGAGAGAGAGAGAGAGAGAGAGAGAGAGAGAGAGAGAGAGAGAGGCTCTTGAATATTCACTGTCTGCTCCTGAGTTAAACTAATCAACTGCAATATTACATTTTGGAATCTTTCCAGGCCCCAAATCCACCTCAACACAAACACTGCTATGAATCTCATGCAGTGAAAATGACGGTAATTTGCACCTGCATATGTGTGTGTGTGTGTTTGAGTGTGTGTGTGAGTTTGACTTTGTTTTCATCCATTTTCAGAACAAAAATCAATTTGTAGTAAAACCAGAGGAAGTCAGGTCTAAACTACCGAACCAACAAACCACTCCTTTACTTCATTTTAACTTTGCAATGTGTCATTTTTAATAAGACACTCTATGTTTATTGTTTAAAACCGAGGGCAAAACCGTTTGCTTTGGTGTTTGAGGTTAAGATTAGGGTTAGGATTAGATTAGGCTTAGAAAATAAAAACCTCTGACACCATCCTTCGTTTAATTTCCAGTCAAAACTGCCAAAAACTGTCCAAGTTTTTCATTTGAAGCCTCTGAAAACATATTTAACACAAAATTACACTGAAGCCTCAAAAACTAAATATACTATAGTAGCTGCACTGCAAAACATAGTAGATTGTCAAGTGAAATTATCTTAATTCTAGTTGATATATTTAATATGTCTTATTTTGAGATGGTCGTGCATTTATTATCATAAAATGATCTCACTATACTGTCAGATAATTTTGCTGGTTTCAAGAACACTTTTTAAAACAAGCAACGTTATCTGCCAACATAGTGAGATACATTTACTTAATAGAATCACTTAAAACAAGTAAAATGTTTGGAAATAAGTTAAATAATCTTAAAATAAGCTTGCAACAACGTAAACAGGAGAAATATTAGATTTACTCACTAGATTAAAATAATTTTCTTGGAAAGAGACCATTTTTGCAGTGTGGTTGAGTCAGTGAGTCACTCTTTCCCTTTATTCCAGCTTCCATTCTTTTCAGGAGACTCACTTTCAGTTCCTCAAAGACATTCAGTGGTGTTGAGGTCTGGACTCTGGGGTGGTCAGTCCATTGTTCAGCTTCTTTGTTTGATGTGTCCGTCTCCTTTTCTCAGTGGGCTTCTCTGAGTGTTGGTGGTGTGTTAGTGTGTGATGTACTTGTGCGAGTGGATCAGACACAGCAGTGCTGCTGGAGTTTTTAAAAACTGTGTCCACTCACTGTCCACTCTATTAGACACTCCTACCTTGTCAGTCCACCTTGTAGATGTAAAGTCAGAGACGATAGCTCATCTGCTGCTGCACAGTTTGTGTTGGTCATCCTCTAGTCCTTCATCAGTGGTCACAGGACGCTGCCCACAGGACGCTGTTGGCTGGATATTTTTGGTTGGTGGACTATTCTCAGTCCAGCAGTGACACTGAGGTGTCACTCCAGCAGCACTGCTGTGTCTGATCCACTCAGACCAGCGCAACACACACTAACACACCACCACCACATCAGTGTTACTGCAGTGCTGAGAATGGTCCACCAACCAAATAGTACCTGCTCTGTGAGGGTCCATGAGGGTCCTGACCACTGAAGAATGTGGTCAGTGGAGCTGATAAAATGGACAATGAGTCTAGATCCTAGTTGTACTTAATAAAGTGATTAATTAGCGTAGGTACTCTTCATATACACACACACACACACACACACACATATATATATACATATATATATATATATATATATACAAATGAGACTTTAAGGCATTTATAAAGCCACAGTTTGACATTGTAGAAAAACATAAGTGTGTGTCTTACAGAGCTGCTCTTGCCTCTGCTGAAGCAATTCCTATGAGGGGACGACTAGAAGGAGATGGGAGGGGAACAAAAGAGTGAAAGGAGAGGAGCGGCGGAGCGGAGGGAAAGGGGGGCATGGGGGGGGGGTTGATATCTCACTCAGACGAGTGCCGCGCTACTGACATCAACATTTTTATGTTCATTATATCCAATCACCTCACACAAGACTGTGGAGCGCCAGGGGTGTGCGAGGTGAATTTAAAATACGGAAAGTACCTCAGAGAGAGAGAGAGAGAGAGAGAGAGAGAGAGAGAGAGAGAGAGAGAGAGAGAGAGAGAGAGAGAGAGAGCACTGTTTGCAGATGTGTGCCTCTCTTCCAGCCAGAGGAGATCTCAATAACAAACTAAAAACACGGCAGCATTAACTCAGACTGATAACTGAACAGCTACAAGCTAAAGTCTGATATCTGGCAGGCCTCCCTCCCCGAGCTGAGCTGCTCTTCTTCTCCAAAACACCAAAACTCTGCTCTCAGGATTTAAATGGAGAGAGAGAGAGGGAGAGAGAGAGAGAGAGAGAGAGAGGGAGAGAGAGAGCGAGAGAGGGAGAGGGAGAGGGAGAGAGAGAGAGGGAGAGAGAGAGGGAGAAGGAGAGAGAGGGAGAGAGAGAGGGAGAGAGGGAGAGAGAGAGAGAGAGGGAGAGGGAGAGAGAGACAGAGAGAGAGAGAGAGAGGGAGAGAGAAAGAGAGAGAGAGAGAGAGGGAGAAGGAGAGAGAGACAGAAAGAGAGGGAGAGAGGGAGAGAGAGAGAGAGAGGGAGAGGGAGAGAGAGAGGGAGAGGGAGAGGGAGAGAGAGAGGGAGAGAGAGAGGGAGAGAGAGAGGGAGAAGGAGAGAGAGACAGAAAGAGAGGGAGAGAGGGAGAGGGAGAGAGAGAGAGAGAGGGAGAGAGAAAGAGAGAGAGAGAGAGAGGGAGAAGGAGAGAGAGACAGAAAGAGAGGGAGAGAGGGAGAGAGAGAGAGAGAGGGAGAGGGAGAGAGGGAGAGAGGCAGTCAGAGGTGAATCTCAGTTTAAGGCTGAATAAATGTGTTTAGAGGATGAAGTGAATGGCAGCTGAAGCCTTGAGGATCAAACTGTAACCCCTTAAACGCTTCAGTCACTGAACACATTTTTCTTCTGGTACTTGATTTTTCCTTGCCGTGTCATTTTGCCTACCATATTTGTTCCATACATGTAAATTTGCTATGTTTTGTGACATCATACCAACAGTGAATTCAAAAAGGGCTGCCTTTGTCACATAGTTTCCATAAAAAAGGCATGGACTGGGATGTTATTGGTATGTTTTGAAACGTAAACAATGATTACAAACAACATCAAACTCTTTCATTTGATTTTATATGATAAGAGCCCTTTAGGTCCACTTATGTTACTTTATGTACTAAAACAAAATACACTATATGGTCAAAAGTATGTGGACACCCCTCCTAATTAATGCATTATGGTGTTTCAGCCACACTCATTGCTAACAGGGGAATAAAATCAAGCATAGAGCCATGCAATCTCCATAGACAAACACTGGCAGTAGAATGGGTCATACTGAAGAGCTCAGTGACCTTAAATGTGTCACTGTCATAGGAGGCCACCTTTGCTCTAAGTCAGTTTGTGAAATTCCTGCCCTGCTAGATCTGCCCCGGACAACTGTAAGTGCTATTATTGTGAAATGGAAGCATTTAGGAGCAACAGCAGCTCAGAGAAGTAGGAGACCATGCAAACTCACTGAGTGAGGCCACTGAGTGCTCCTCTGTTGCATCACTCACTACAGAATTGCAAACTGCCCGTGGAAGCAACATCATCACGAGCAGATGCGCACAAGCCTAAGATCACTATGCGCAATGCCAAGCGTCGGCTGGAGTGGTGTAAAGCACCGCTACCGGACCTTGGAGAAGTGGAAATGTGTTC